TCCTCTCCTCTATGAACATCCGTCCCTCTGAAATGAAGGCCACAAAACCTGAAGCTGCTTTCTGTTTATGTCTGTGTATCCTCAGAGTCCAGAGGTCAGGTCACTGTGACTCAGCCTGGAGCAGTGAGCTCTGCTGTGGGGGGCTCCGTCACCATCTCATGTAAAACCAGTCAGAACGTTAACGGCAATAACTATTTATCCTGGTACCAACAGAGAGATGGAGAAAAGCCTAAACTGCTCATTTACTATGCTAGCAGCAGAGCATCAGGGATTCCAAGTCGTTTTACAGGCAGTGGATCAAACTCTGACTTCACTCTGACCATCAGTGGAGTTCAGGCTGAAGATGCTGCAGTTTATTACTGTATGGGGGAGTTCTACATCAACAGTCTGTATTCGTTCCCACAGTGAAAAACAGTCGTACAAAAACCTCCGAAAGTCAGACTGAACTGAAACTGAACTGACAGCTGCAAACGAAAACAGTTAACTCATGAGATACATATAAGCTTTTAACATTTAATGACATGACACTGATTGAATAAAATCTACCTATTAGAGCGCTTCACCATCCTTTAACACTAGAAAACGTGTTAGTTTCCCCCGAAATTTAAAAATTTTGAAAACCCTGTTCAAAATTTGCTTTTTAGCATTTTAATCTTTCGAAATTCGTAAAATCATAACGTTTTTATTTGTGTATTTTTTTTTATGTGTAATTGAAAAGCAAAGCGCTTGTGAAAATTATTTTCACCAATAGTTGGAGTAAATATTTCATCAGCTTTTCATCAGGAGTTTTGCAACTTGGACATGAATAAATTTAGATCAGCTGGGATTATAATGTAAAACCTTTTCTCAGTTGTTCTAACTTTCTTGCTGGACTTTGAATATATTTTAGTTATTAAAAAGATAATTAAGTGTATTTTCACCTTAGGAAGTTTAAATCAGAGTTGAATGAAATATTTCATTAAAATTATTTATGTTCACAAAAGAAAATAAACTTATTCTCAATGAAATGTGGAAGTCTAGTGTGTGTTGAGTTTGTATAAACGCCATTAGATTGACCGGAAACTTAAACATAGTTTAAGGAGGGTACATGAAGAGTTTGTTACGGACATTTTTTTTATTATTCAAGTAATTTGATGAGGAAATAAACAGCATAAGTCATAGCCGTGTATACCGTATAAACGTTGTTAAAGGTTATCAATCAATGACTTTTCTTGTCTTTTCCCTGCAAATAATTTCCTTGTAAGTTCATGGAAGCCTTATGTAAAACATGGCTTTATACTGGGAATGAAAACATCCTAAAAACTTCATATATAAACAGTTTTGCAACACTTCATCTGCCTTATATATGGATGAAAGATAGACTAAGATTTCTTAATAATTGTAAACATTTCAAAATAATTAGACAATTTATTTCAAGATCATTTTATTTATTGTCTGAATTCATGTTAAAAGTTTACTGGAGAAATATGACAGAAAAGGTAACATACAATGAAAGAAAATGGTGTATTTGCCCAGTACCAGTGAGTCAGATCAGGACTGGGAAC